CCAAATAACGCTATCAGAGTTCTATCTGCGTTTCTCAAAAATCAGCAAGGGAATTCCTTATAATTTCAGAACTTGCGTATAATCAATTATAAATCACAAAAACTCCAATATAACAAACCCCTCTGCATGTTCTCTCATCATTTTCTCATAATCCTCGATGCGAGCGAGCATAGAAGCGCAAGGAGTGCAAACGCGAGCAGGTGATTGCTTAAAGAATATATTAAGCTTATGAATGAATACTTTTTTCTGACAAAAAAAAAAGCAGGAATGCTTGGATCAACCTTTTTTGGCTCGTCTTTCATATACTGAAGTGTAGCCCGCTCCTTGCAGCATGATCCACAGGCTACGCGGCCGCAAGCTCTACAGTGATGACGACGATTGAGTAGAGAAAAACGAGCATTACATAACATACACATCGAACAGTCATCGTCAGGAATCCAGTAAGGCTTCGACTAGAACAGCAGACATATATTATAAAGAAAGGCTTCGTAGAAAGAAAACCACGGACCTTTCCCAGTTGTAGCTCGCTCTCAGTAAGCCTCATGGGGTCTGATTCCTGAGATAAGTCGTGGATTGTTGCAATGACCTAAGTAATTACCAGTAAGTACAAAATATTCACACTGATAGAAAAACACACTTGCGCTCCAAATCGATCACAGGGAGGAGCAGGAGAAGGCCGTTCGTCTTCCTGGATGAGAACTAATTTATAAACTAATTGATTAGATGCAAGCACTCTCCATGCCTTCCTACACTAAACTTTAACTTCATTCTCCACTTGAACTGTTTCAGCAAATATGTAATAATAACAAAAGCAAGCGCATCAAAAACCCAAGTCTTTCCTTGACCAGAATTGTGTCGACTTTATTTCCACTCACCTTTGCAAGCAAATGTTAGCCAAATTCAAAAAAAAAATTCAACTTTCTTGTATAAAGCCTTAGAATTATTTCGATAAGGATCGGGACGGTTTCCGCGAGATGATTGCCCACGTTTCACTCAATATGGGTTCCCACGCACCGTAAGTTGTATTTCGAGTACCAATAGATCTTTTGTGGACCTGAGAAACCGTG